CGCTTTATATCGGTGCTGTTTAAAGTCGTCTAATTAACGAAATTGTTAGCGTGTTTTGAGCGGATAAAAGCTGAAAATTCTTAATATTCGAGATTAAGCTTTGGACGACAGCTTTTTATCCAGCATATTTTCAAAAATTTTCATTATTTAACTTAGTTTTGAGCTTGAGTTTGTAAAAAAAAAATTACCACCTTGCCCTGTTCAGAATAGTACGTTAAATGTTAGCTGCCGGGGTACGATTCGGCCATTTTAACATTTGTTTGGTATCATTTTGCACCATCTGTTTTAAGCAATTTCTTTTTGTGTTGGCCGGTCGAAATTGGAGTTTGAAAAATGATGACAAGCGCAAGACGTTTTGTCGGTTAGGGCATCAAATTCCTTAGCGAGGAACGTCCTACACCACCCCCCCCCCCTCCCCCCTAAATCTACAAGAGGTAAAATTTCAGATGATTTTCAATCTTTATCGGTATCGGAGCTCGAGTTGTTCCCTCTAAAATAATTCTGTTATTTAAGTAAAATGAACATGAAAAAAAAATTATAGGAATGTTTGGAGCGAAATTTGATGTCAAAATCTAAAATTTCCTAAATATATACTCAAATTGTATTCACCTGATTTGATAAACTTTTCAGAGAAAACTGTAAATAAAACTTTCAAAATATTTTCAAATAGCAATTTTAAAATATGGCATAACTGAGCGGATACTAGTTTTCAATTGGCTTATGGTAGTTTCAATTGGGACTGTTGTAGACACATTGTGAAACTTTCATTGAAACTATGTGCTAAAAATACTGGTATGAGATAAAAGCATTGGAGAAAAGCTTTTTTGATTCATGCTTCATCAATAATACTTGTTTTTAAAATACCAATCCTTTAAACTTAACAATGACTACAGACGCTATAAAACTTTATCCATTTTCTGTGCAGCTGAAAAACTAAGACGTGAACCAAAAAATTGTGTCATAAGTTTTTAAAAAACAGTCATTAATTTATGAACAAATTTTAGCTTAATGAAACTCTCACAAAAAATAAACACAATCAACCCAACCGATGTTTATAAGTCGCAAAGGAACAGTAGTACAGAATTTTTCAACCACGGTCAAAAAAAATGGCAAGAAAGTTTTGTATCACAAAAATGGAACCACTATTTTAAAAAATATATAAATATATATAGTTTTCTTGGTTGGAAAGAATGAATCAAACTACGCATCAATAAAGTTTAAAGTAATTGTTAACAAAAAAAGTTTTTCGACACCACTAGATCCGCGCTCTATAAACCGTTGGACAGCATTTTGAAATCGAAAAGTCGAAAGCGATGCAGTTTACGCTCATTGGGTAGCTTTTTCCGAAATTGCGATCTCAACTTCGGCAAAGTTCTAGTGATCTTACGTAGAGACGGAGCTGCACTTCAAAATCACAAAAAAAACCTCTCCGAAAATTTATAGAAATTGAACCAAAACACAGGAAAGTGAGCCTTGAAATAGCGAACCTCTAAAAAAAACCAGGAACACCTCTGAACAAAATACAGAATTACCCCTTCGAAGCAGCGAACCTTTAAAAAGAAAACCGGTGACATTACTTGGAAAACATGAAAAAGAAAAACAGCCTAGATTACCACTTCAACAATCATATTTACATTCTATCAATACAAAAACTGTTGGAGCCTGTTTTGAATTTTAATCAAAAAAATCTACTGACAACAAAATTGACCCCTATACGTAAAGAAGTAAATTAAATCGAAACATCCGATTTTAGACCATTTTCCTATTTACCCGTCCTTGCCAATTTACTGGAAGGATCATTATACCACTGAAATAGATTTTGTAAATCGGCAAAAGATACTACATCAATCTCAGCTCGAATTCAGACTAAAACGAAACCAGTTGACGCTATTAATTCTCTAGTAGAAGAAATCAGATTTGATTGTGACAACCAAGGTATTGAAACTCAGTGTGCTTTTCTAATCACACGCTCTTCTTCAGCAAAGGTTGTGATTACGGTATGAGAAGACCAACATAGAATATTCTAGTTTCAATTTCTCAGATTGCAAGCATTATGTAACAAAATCAAATTGCAAGTCAAAAACCAAAATGCGGAGTCGCACAGGGCTTAATTTTAGGACCACTTCTTTCACTCTGTATACTAATGATGCATCAAAATGAATGAAAAAACTAACACCTACTTATCTCTAAACCGATAAAAGCTATTAAAGCTCATTCTGAAAAAATATTAGAGACTAACAAAAATGACAATGCATTCACAAAAGCAAAAAAATGTTTGGACAAAACAAATAGGCTTTGAATTAACACAAAACCAGAAAAGTGAGACAAGGAAAAAAATATTACTCAATCAAAATCAACAATAAGAAAATTGAGCAAACGACCGCTCTCAATTACATGGCTTTGCATCTCAATTGCTGCTAGAAATCAAAAAGAAAACAATTAAATAACAAACCTTTTTTTCTTAAGTTTTTGACATAATTCTCAATATGACACGAAATTCAATAAACAACTTTCTCCACAAGTTTCAAGAGACTAAATAAAGGAAATAATGAGCTAATCGATTTGGTAATCTTTTCTCATAGTATAGGTTTTCTTTAAGGTATTGATTCTCCATAAAATTTGTCAAATTTTGAAGATAAAAATTTATATATGTCAATAAACTTCAAATTTGTGAATGACAGAAAAGTATAGCGGTGGTACTACACCACCATCCTTAATAAAAAATTGTTTTTTTCCCCCGCCAAGTGAGGTCTGAAAAGAAACATAATTTGTCTAATAACAATATCCAAGACTGAGTTCTAATTGAATGATTCTTAATAGTAATGTTTTGACAAAAATGGACCCATAGTGGAAACTGTTTATTATGACTATCAAGCAAACAACCGATTCACTCGAATAGAACCCCTAGACATGCAGCAAAAAGTTTGCATTTATTCTAGTCTTTGTCAAAGATGATGGTAACGGCAACTAGATATCGGCCAAATAATTCTTGCTTGTACTTCCTGCTATACTTCCTATTAATATTTCCAGCTTGTATTTCCGACAAAATGTTTCCAGCTAGTATTTCCTATTAATCTTTCCCGCTAGTAATTCTCGCTAGTGTTTAAGGCTGAAATTTTTTGCTAGTACTTCCTGCTTGATTTCAATTCTGCCAGTATTTCCGCCCAAATATTTTCTTTAGAAAGCCGCCGCTATCACCTTTTGAACTTGCCTAGGTATATAGTTTTTATCGTTTGATCACAAAAATAAATTGAAGAAACTTAACGCTTTTGATCAATAATTTACAACCAAATCAGAGTTGTGAGCCTATGATTCAACAAAATCTGTTATCGAACGGTGATTTTTTGTCAGAAGCGGAATATCACGAAAAATATCTTTACGGAAGTGAACAATCATGGCATTAAAACTTTCAAGTCGTAGTACAAATTGATGAGCATACAATGTGAACAATACTGCTTGTATCAGGGTGAAGTTCTGAACCTTCCGATAGACTTTTAAGGCCTATGGATTAGTGTTCGCTTTTAAAAAATTGCAAATCACCGCCAAAGTGTTATATTACGCATAAAATCAAAATGATATATTTCGCATACGAGAGCGCGAGATATTTCGCAAAAAAAATTCAACAACGCAACGTAATAAGTAGACTAAAAAGCATGCCGAAATTCAAATTGAGAAGCATCTTCTCAGAGGGATTTATTCTCCGTATATGCGCTTTTAACACGGAAAATGTCGCCTGTCATTTGTTGTAAATTCGAAACCTTCACACAGAGCCGAAGCTGAGCTTCGGCCCACTAGCGATACAACACTAGAAATCAAAAAATCAAAAATGACGGAACCAGAAAAACTAGATCTATCAAAATTAATGAGCCTAGTTTTGAAACAAAACCATGCCAAGACAATAGTGTAAAATTAGCATCGGAAGGTGATTTACCAAGCGGTAACAAATACCTTGGCAGAAACATTCAAGCCGAAAAAAGTCAACAAGATTTAAGACTGATGAAAAGTTCCCGTCGCCCTCATAACACTCAAAAAACACTATTTGCTTGTCAAATGAAACAATATGAGACAACTAAGCCCATAAAAATAGCCTGAAAACTAAGAAGCCCAAAACTTTTATTGGAAAAACAATAAAAAGGATATACAGTGAGAGTCATAGACCAATGAGCGTAAATATACGATGCATATACTGCATGCATGTCGTTTAATGCATGCATTGCATCTGAAATCTGTGTACAAAAATACTAACGGGAGAAAGTCTAGTATCCGATTGGAATACCCTTGCTATCGCACAGGTAAAAATCACTTAACTTTGCAAAAAAAACAATCACTGATAAAATATTTTCCTGAAATTGAGTTCAAGACAACGAAACCTTGTGAATGATACTTAAAGAGATCCTCACAAATGCTAGCTAAAAAGTCAAAATTTGCCTGAAGAAAACACCACCTCGGTTTTTCTCGACAAAAATATTTTGGAAAGTTTTAAATATCTTTCGAACCACAACTGTGAGGGCTTTAATATGATTTATCACTCAACTCTCTCTGATGATTATTTGTGGTAGCTGATTTTGCGTGGAAAACAAAAAATAACTAAAACACACCCGAATACAAAGTTCCTCCTTAATTTTCAAATGGTCGGAACAAAAATAGTACTAAAATGACAGCCTTTATCCAGGGCTGGTTAAAAAATGTACAGAAGTCTTTTCATAAGTTGAAAACAATGTGAAAGTTTTACTACAGGAACTGTTTATATCCTGATAAATGAAACAAGTTTATTTTGTACTTCTGGGCTTTCTTCATATTGGATTGGATCAATTTTTGAACCCCGAACATTGGATCCATAAAATCAGCTGCAAATCTTTCATCTGTTGGTCAAAATATACAATTTTATAGCGGCTCACTTGTTGAAAATGATAGCTTCCTGATGTTTTAAAACACAGCAAAACTGGCCGTTTTAAAACGTGCAAACCCTGCATTTATCTGGTAGAAAAATTAGGACTTACTTGGAGAAGGGATTGTGAGGTTTAACTCTGAGAACATACAGAGCCGCGAATATACCAATCCACACGAGGATTGACACAAACAACAGTACCGCGACAACTATGAGGATTATATTTGTATCGCTGTCTTCCATAACTTCGATTATTCAGATAAAAATAATTAACTCATGCTGAAAAACGTTCGAATTACAACATAATACTGAGATCGAGCTTTTTAATTTATTCAAATCTTTTATTGGTCTACTGCTGTTCTTCTATTCGTAATATTTGACTAAAAGTGCCTCTATTTTAAATGTGCCTTCAATTATAAACAGTAGTTTTTGACGTGCGGATCACATAGAAACTCAGTACAATCTTATCAAAGCGTCGAACGACTTTCACCGAGCAATAAACTGAGCAAGAAAACGAAGGCATTTTTACAACTAAGTAATTTTTGTCATTACAATGTATAATAGAATAGCTTCTTGAGATACGTCACTGCATTTTGCTTTTCGATTTTTAAAATCTTTAAGCGCCGTAACCAGTTTGAATATCGAATAAACTTTTTGCTGGCTTAAATGAAGAACTTCATTGAAGAATCAACGATATGCGAAAAATTTGGGTCAAATTGGAAAAAAAGGGATCAGTTGAATATAATGACAATTGAAAGCTTGGGGCAGCCATATATTTCTGACCAGTCAAAGATAAATGATAATTTAACATCTTTGTTCTAAATTCTGTTAAACATTCTTGTTCTATTTTCCGACACCAATTTTGGGTTTAGCAACTGAAAAGTTTGGACTGTAGCTGAAGCAAAAAAAAACGCAATTGTTTCGTCAAACCTTCACAAAATCCCATAAAAGCAAACGGGTCAGTCAGCACATTTATTTTCCCCAAAATTTGACTACGGCGTAGATAATTTGGTAAGAAAGGCTTTCTTAAAGCAGTATTTTTCAATTGTTTGGATAAATTTCTCGAATGTTCCTATCATCTGTGGGTATTTTGTGAAAAATTGTATATAGAGCAATGTAATTTAGTTGCAGAACTCTTTTTAATTTTAGAACTATCTTGACTTCTATTTATACAAAACTATTTTAAAATTATCTCATAACTATGTCAAGAAACTGATTTCAATATATATTAAATTCAAATATTTCTGAATATTAAAATTTGATAGTTAGATATCTGAGAAACCTAAACAAAATCGGTTTGAATATAGAGGAAAAGATCAATTCACTACTGAACATAAAAATGTTTAAATAAAATTTGAGAAGTATAAGTTTTTACTTGTCTTTTTACTACTATTTGAAGTATCTTTTCCACTTGCGTTATTGCGGAATGAGGAACTGAGGCTCGATGCAATTTGAGGCTGGAAAAACTCATCTTCATCGTCGTCTTCAGTTTTAATCTCACCCGGTTCCCAATCCGCTTTTTTCTCTTCGTCACTTTCTTCAAATGATGATGCGTCTGAAAACTCTTTTTCCACAGGAATAACAACTGCTTTGATTTTTGGTGTAACTTTAGCCGTTGGAAATTGTACCGGATTAGTCCTCTTGGCAAAATTAGGTCTACCTCGACCTTTGGGTTTCGGTAACTGTTTTCGTGATTCAAAAGGTTGCCCAGCGCCTGAAGATCTAATAGGCGGTGGTGGAACTCCAAGAATCCTAGGTTTTGGGGGTTCCGGTGGGTCTGGAACATCTGGTTTTGAGGTTCCAGGTTTGGCTATTGCAGTAACGCTGTTTTTGGCAAAATTCAGTGAACTTGTATTTTGAAGTGTAGTGCTAAGGGCAGCTTCTAAGAGTTCTTGCTTTTTCTCGCCTTTGGTCTTTCGCTTCTTTCTGGCCTTGGGCGTTCGCTCAGAAAACAAGTCGCCATAACTTATCGGTGTTCTAGTTTTCAATGTTAATGTTTCATGTTTGGCCTCATTCGATTCATTTTCACTTCCTACTTGATTTACATTCGGACTAGCCGAACTCTTTTTGTTTTTATCCAAATATTGCACTGGCAGGTCTGGAACTCCTGAGATTAATGACTGGATATAATGGCTACTGTAGCTTGCCAGTGGCGTTTCGGAAACTTCAGGTGGTTTGTCTGAAAAGCGCGATTCACGGCGTTTGTATTTGACTTTTCCCCAGTCGCTGCTACTTTCTGGCGACAACGGAGCCGTTTGTTTCCAAGTACTTGACACCGTGCACGTTATAGGATCTATTTCTATCAGTGAAGAACTGTGGTACTCTATTAGATTAGCTCTAGGGTCCATTTTGATTCCTAACGAATCTGCGATATATCTGATTATGTAACTAGAAAACTGTCTGTTCGCATACCCGTCCCAATGTAAGCCATCGCTAAGTTGGTGAAACAAAGTCAAGTCCCTGCAGTGGAAATTCAGGTCTAAAAAGTCGCGTTCGTACTCGTAGCACAACATGTGAACAAAGAAATTTGCTTGTAGCAAATCGACTCTTATGGAATGTCCTTTGTGGACTAGTCTCGGAACCATAAAGGCTTTGTGTGCATTAGTGTGTACTGGCAAAGATGACATCCAGAAGAAGAGGCAATTTGGAGATAAAATCATGTCCAGATGCTTAAACAACTTCTCAGCGCGGGACTCAAACTCGGCCACAGACTCAGACCCGTAGCGTGATATGTCCCACAAACAGCTGTAAGAATCATTGTTCAGTAAAACAAGCACAAAGCTGTTTCAAACTTGATTCGAAATGAATTCCAGTTATGACATACCTGTTGAAAACTACAACATCGGGGCCTCCGTGGAGTAGGTGCTGGAAAATTTCCTCCATGTAGTTGTCGTAGATCCGAGTGACGCAGTAGTATTTCACGCGGAAATAGTTCGAGTGGTATTCCCTCTCTTCCCGATAATGTTTGCCTGTCTCTCTGTTCGAGTAAAGCAGTCTATCGCCCAGGAAAGATGCTTCGCCCTACATCAATGAATACAGTACACTTGTCAAAAGGCCACGAGAGCTGCAGTAAAAAATCACTGTAACCCAACAACACTTCAGAGGAACGCGTCGACGCAAGTTCAGGAGAGGTCTCATATTGTATTCACTGGACAACCAGACTTAGACAATTAAGCTTCGAAGAAAAACATGTAACAATCGTCTCAGAAAAAAAACAGATGAAAAACATTGCTTAAAATCCGCAGGATGTAACCAGTGACACTAAACTGCAGTACTGTAATGCTAACTAGTTATGACTCACCTTAACTTCGATTTCTTCTGCGGTCAGATGGTCTTCGCTATTCTGAAGATGCAACACTATGTCCTTGTAGATCGACCGCATCACTGAAAAGAACAACAAATTGATTACTTGCCATCCAAATTGATAGCATTCAGTATGCTCTGCCTAGGCGTAGTTTTTCATGGTTATTGAACAAAAAAACAACGAATATCAAAATATAAGATTCTACAGCTGCTTTTGTCCAAAAAAATCACCTGGCACCCCAAATCTGCGAGAAAGAGCTCACCTGAGTCTCCAATGAGGACGAGGGAATAGTTGGCAAGAACCTGCTGCACTTCATTGCGCTGCAATGGCCTTCCCTGCATTCTCAATAATGAAAACGCTGATCGCTTATCGACTAAAATCTGTAAAACTACATTTTTACCTGAAAATGGATAAACTTTACAAAAGGAAACTGGACGCCCCGAGCTCAGCACAGATCAGTTCGGACCACTATACTTCACAATGAATTATTTTCATGTAAAGCATTTTCATTAGTAGTTACATCTAAAAAACGCAATCAAAGTATGTTTAATATCCCTAATAATTGATGAACATCAAACCGAAAAATGCGGAAGAATTGAAAATGTGTTAATTAGATGCTATGATTTTGATAGTTTTTGACTTTAAAAAATTGATACTCAGATCAAATATTATTTATAATATGTTTAACAAACAAAAAAGGATCGGCAAACAAATTTACTTATAGTTTCTTGTCAGTAACGACATTATTGTTCTTTCATGAAATAGATTTTGACAGATATTGACTTGATATTGCTAGAGCTCGAAGGACCCCTCAGATCTCATAATCAAAATCATGATACCCTTTGCCTGGAATGCTAAAAACTAACTTTTACTCGTAAATCGTTGTCGAACAAAATTTTAAACAGGCAAAGGGTAGTTTTATCTCATTTCAAGTTGTCATCATTGGGGAAACAAAAGGCGACTAAAAATTGATTAAAAGAAATTCGTCAACAAAATGAGAGCCAACGTTCAGTTTCGAAATTCCAATTAACTCAAGACACCAAAACAATGACCAACACTAATCTGAAATTTTAAGTTCACTGTGCAAAACCTCAACGTTTAAGAGTGAGATGCAAGGAGCGAGACGACCATTTAGATACACGAAAAGAAAATAATGCTTGATGCAAAAAAATGTAGCTACCTTTCCTTTTCTTAAATAATCTAGCCTTATTTCATCCACTGTTCTTTCTTCGCAATAAATTGACGTAAAAACAAAAATTTGAGCACCCTTTTGAACTCACATCATATTGAAGCACAATTTAACCAATTTTTTAAACTATGGTATTTGAGAGCGGTGTGGGAAGAGAGCGCAAAAAAAAGATTTGATACTGCAACAGCTCGAATGACCCCTCAGATCTCATAATCAAAATCATGATACCCTTTGCCTGGAATGCTAAAAACTAACTAAGGCTAAAGACTTTTATTCGTAATTCATTGCCGACCAAAATTTTTAACAGGCAAAGGGTAGTTTTATCTCATTTCAAGTTGTCATCATTGGGGAAACAAAAGGCGACTAAATATTGATTCGAAGAAACTCGTCAACAAAATCAGAGCCAACAGTTTCGAAGTGCCCATTAACTCAAGACTCCAAAACAATGACAAACACTAATCTGAACTTTGTTCACTGTGCAAAACCTTAGCGTTTTTGGTATTTGAGAGTGGAGTGGGAAGAGAACTTTAAAGAACACGGAACCCTAAGATTGTCTTTAATTGACCACATTTGTCTTTCAAACATGGACAACTAAAAAAAGCGCATTTTTCAAATGAAATAGAGTGTAACGAACCTCGGGTGATTCAAAAGTAAAAGAGAACGCGAAAACTGCTTACATATAGATATATAAAAACGCCAAAAAAATGAAAATTAGTCTAAAAAATTGCAGCATATTTCCTATTTTAAAAAACCATATAAAAAGTCATTTATCGGAAACGATAAAAAAATTTTAGCAGTCATTTTGAAAGCAAGAATTTGATCTAAAAAAGCTACAAAATTTGAAATTCCCACCCAATCTTATACTGGGGTGCTATCAGAGCACTCTCATTTAAAGTAAATCAAATGAGAGTGCTC